TGTGCGTGTGTGCGCGTGCGTGCGTGTGTGTTCGTGTGTGCGCGCGTGTGCGTGTGCGCGTGTGGGCGCGTGCGTGTGTATGTGTGCGTGTGCTCGCGCGTGTGTGTATGTGTGTGCGTGTTTTTATGTGTGTGCGCGTGTACGTGCGTGTGTGTGTGTGTGTGTGTGTGTGTGCGTGTGTGCATGTGTGCGTGTGTGTGCGTGAGTGTGCGTGGTTGTGTGATAATACCGACGGCGAATTTTACAAAACAGGTTTAAATCGAATGTCTTACATTATTGTTGTTTTTAATTTTTAATTTTATATAGGAATATTGCAAATCTTAGGAGATAATAGATGCGCATACTTAGAGAATCTTCACCATTTGTATCGGAGTTTCCGTTGTATTGTTAACACATACAATAAGATTTGTGTGAATAATCTATTAACGGTGCAGGACACTGATACCTGAACTTATATGGGTAACATTTGCATTCATTTGCCCCAGTAGAACCTCACTAATAGACACGCGCGCGAGCATATTCACACGTACGCATGCATAGCGATGCACGCACGTACGGATATGCACGCACACACGTACGCACGCACGCACGAAGATGCACGCACGTTCGCACGCCCAGAGATGCACGCACGCACGTACGTTCTTATTAGGACTTTTGTTGTGCAACTCGTTTTGTCACAGGGATAATAATCTATTATGGTATTCCGCCGATGGCTAAACGGTGACGCCATCTACTGCCGATGATTTGCAAAGTTTTTGCACCGAAACTTCGATTGCCGAACACAGTGCTATGTAGGGTCGACGAAGACAGGGCAAGCAAGCAAATTCCTATTCGGACAGCCTTCTAAGTGTAACGCATAGTAGGACAGTAACTTGTCTTGTGATTGGTGAGAAATCACCAGTAGAAGGTTGCATGTTTAATGTGTAGCGTGTATTGATGATGTTGATCGTTGACATTCATAGAAATAAACTTCGCCAGGAATGAGAGAGGCGCAAGTAGAGGTCTGAATCTTCATAAAATACGTGCGCTGATACGTGCGCTGACAACGACGGACAAAACACATATAACCTTGCTCGGTGTGTTTGCCCACGGCAACAATTGGTTCCTTCTATAATAAACGCGGCGAATTAAAATTAAATTAAAATTAGAATTAAAATTAAAACGTTTTATCTATCGGCAAACAATGTGCTAATAAGAACGATGACGAAAAATATTGTTTTTTTTATGAAAAACCTGCAACACGCTGGTCCATAGTTTTATTTCACAAACTTTAAAAGGAATATTAAACGAACGCCGCTATATCGCTCGTCTCCCATGGGGTTGAGATTATAAATACATGATACAGATGATCCCATTAGAAAAAATGAAACAGCACATGTAATATATATACTACATAACATGGCGAAAACATTATCAACATTATTGTCTAGTCGGACGTGGTTCTATTTACAGTGCATATATGTGGAGACCACGCTTCGCAGCACGAAATGACGTACATCTACAAAGCGTTATTCACAAAGACATGATATATGACAACTTTCGATAACGCTATAACCACAGAATCTCCCTGTGTGCACTTAAAACCGATACCGATGATGGAATACACACGAAGATAAATAACGAACATCCAGAGAGCTACACGCGAATAGCTTCCATTCATCGATAACTCCATTCATAAATATCTAAAACATGCCTAACTGGAATAAACAGGAACCAGGAATATCTATACGCTCGTTTCCGGAATATTTAAATCGCCAACCGGATGTTCATGGAATCATTGATGTTGGCTTCCGGAACGCCGCGTCCATAATACGTTAGTCTCTTACCCACACCACTAACAAAGTCATTGACTTTCATACCGACAGTTGGTATAGCAAGAGAATCACAATTTCTGCCGCTAGATTCGGCAATAACTTATAAATGGAAGCTTGAATAAAAAACAGTGCTTAGTTAATTCCTAGTATCGTGCACTGGAATTAATGACACGAAGTCACCGAGGATGAGTCAGATCAATCAATAGTTAACAGCTACGAAATAGTCGATCAATCGACGAATAGGTTTTGACGGTCAATCGAAGAATCGATTTCGATAAACAATAAGCGAGAAATCACAGCGAATTCAAATATTACGGCACGTTGAAATATCGACATTGCCAATCGTACAAAGTTTCGAAATATTAACGCAACCAATCAAAACTAAGATCATGATACCGACCTAAATGCGTCACATTACTCTGCATAAGTCCGCGAACCACACATGTGATGAAACGATCACCTGCGCATGCGCCCGAAATGACATGGTTTCGCAAATTTCTTTCAGCGGGGCCGCGATTTGTTTCCTTTGGATAGTTACCGCAGCAAATCAAACATTTTGGCATTTTAAATTGCCACACGTGGTTTTCACTGCGTCTCTATTCAAGCCGTATATATAAGAGTGGATATTACGCTCACTATTTCAGACAAGGCGACATTTCATTGCGAGCCCACGGAACAGTTCAGGCGCATTTTTAATCTACATATTTCATGATTATGTTCGCAATTCTGGAAGTCAAAACCGCGAAATACCATCGCACCGATCTCGCAATACTACTTATTAAAACGACGTTAAAAATGTCAAAACTTTGTCACGTTCGGTTATATAAAAGACAGGAACTGCTACTCGTAACTTTGCTTCACGCCGCATTACCATCATCATAAGGAAGATACAAAGACACTGTTCGAGAGCAACAGGTGGAATATCGCCGTCAGTTCGATAAAGTTTAGCTAGTGTTTGGGTTTAACGTTTCGCTATAACTTTTAGGATCCCGCTGGTGTTACTCATGGTCGCCATTCAATGTACATACACGTTGCACTTTTCGAGGTTCGAAGCAATCATACATGGTTAAACTGCGTCTGAAAGGAGTTTCATACGGCAAAAATGCAACGGGTATGTTGCACATTTACTTCCCAATGGCCGATGATGTTTATTGATTTTCATAATATATAGTTGGTATGGAGGTGGGTATATACCTAATACAAAGTAAAAATTTAGTGACGATTGCATTAAAATGAGAATTTAGCGCGTCTTCATGCGTTTTCAATTCATTGCTTATTAGAGAATCTATATACACCTAGATGTGTAAGGTCAAGCCTGGAGACGTATAGAGCAATATGCTCTGCATTTCATGTTTATATGATTTTTCTAATATTTGAAATTGCCGTGACAGCTTCCCTTTTCCTCTTCCTTGTCATATTCGCCGTTATCATCGTCATCGTCATTGTCACTGTATTCATCGTCATCGTCATCATCATCATCATCATCATCATCATCATCATCCTCATCATCATCATCATCATCATCATCATCATCATCATCATCATCATCATCAACAACAACAACAACAACATTATCATCATAATCAGTACCATAACCATCACTCTTTTCTTCATTTATTTTCTTCTATTTTAATCTTTTTCTCCTCCTTTCTTCTCCTTTCTTATTCTTCTTCTTCATCTTATTTTTCGTCTTCCCCTTCTTCTTCCTCCACCTCGTCTGTTTCATCATCAATTTATATGCCTATTCTTCAACTTATCTTTTCATTTTTTCGTCACCCTACTCTTTCATAATCTCATTCTTCGCCTTCGCGATCTCGATCTTATTCTCCGTGATATTATTTCACGTTATCTTCTTATTTTTCTTCTTCGTTTTATTCTAATCTCCAATTTTTGGCTTCTCACTTTTCTTTACTTTAACTAAGCTTTCTGTATTCTTTCGTATCTGTCAGGTAACTGCGATGCTTCGTGTTCATCCGTATTGCATTGACGACAGGACTCTATACTTGTGTGTGAGTATACCCGTGGTATGGCATTGTATCGGGCATTCCATCCGCACTGACCATTTGCGAGGGACTGCCGAAGTACTGAAAATAAAATCGTTTAAATAAAATAGCTCGATCGTAAGACGTCGAATGTATTCACAGAGACAATAATGTGCCATATTCGCCTATTCATATAGGTCCCGTGTAATGCTATTCAATTGTGAAAACTATAGGTCAGTGGTAAGGAAACCCTCCGCCATGGCTAGAGATCCAAGTAACGCTATGTTTGTCCGTTCTCTATATGTACATTTTACTATATTTCTACCTAATTAAAATTTATTGTCTTCATCAAGAAGTATTAACTTTCATAATAAAAGAAAATCTAAATATTTCTTGAATAAATTTCTTTATTTTCGACCTACGTTCGGTGCGTCGCTCACCGTTGTGGAAATCCTGCCATTTTCGCCTTCTGGGTTTCCTTCAATGGACATGCGCATCTTTTGCCGCATGGCTGACGTTAGGCTTTGCTGTGGAAAGAAATGGACAACAATTGAACACAACAAATATATTTTTCTAATAATTACGCGATTGCTAGTAAGACAAAAATCGCTAATTAGCATCTCGGTTACTCTCTCGTTCTCTCCCCCCCCTCTCTCTCTCTCTCTCTCTCTCTCTCTCTCTCTCTCTCTCTCTCTCTCTCGTCTTTCTCTCTCTCTCTCTCTTTCTCTCTCTCTCGCTCTCTCTTGCTCTCTCGCTCGCTTTCTTTTTCTTTCACGCTTTCGCGCGCGCTCGCTTGCTCCCGTTTGATCATCATATATATTTTTCGCTCTGTCTCACTTTTGCTCGGTTTCGCTCTCTCTGTCTCGCTACCGAATATGATTACTCATAATGCTTTATTCCCTCATGTATAAATGCGCCTTTACGCGGAGCGGCGAGGTAGCTTATTGCTTCATCCCACATAGATATTACGAGGAAACAGTTTTATCCTCGTGATCAGAAATAGCTAGGAAAGTAATTAGCCACAGATCACATACAGCAGTCGGATCTAGCGTGTAAATGGAGCAAGCATCATCGAGAAGATGTTTTCGCCCGCCGTACACGTCGTGCAATAATGCCGCCAACAATTTCGCACTACCAAAGCCAAATGCGAAGCGTGACGTCATAAGGCAACTAACGAGTAATTTATAACCATCCAAAAGCGGGACCAATATGGAAACGGAGTGTGAGTGGGTGCGTGCGTGCGTGCGTGCGTGCGTGCGTGCGTGCGTGCGTGTGTGCGTGCGTGCGTGAGTGCGTAGGTCTGTGGATGCGAGCGTAGTTGCTGTGTGTGCGCTTGCGTATGTGAGCGCGCGCACGCCTGTGCGTCTGTCTGTGTGCGTACGCAAGTGTGTGAGAGCGCGCGGGGAGTATGCGTGTGTGCGCGCGTGTGTGTCATTTAATTTAAGACATGGTTATAACATAGAGCTGATCTAATATTAATTAGATTAGTAATTTTGTTAATTAATTCATACAGTATCGAATTTGTTTTCAATAGTTAAAGATAAAAATCATAATAGCATAATCTGCATATTCTCGAATAGAATTATAAAAGGCAACATTATGCATGTATATGTTATTAAACATGACTAAAGTTTATTAGTAAGCCGTGCATGTGTCTCTGCGGACCATACTGTTATTACTTCAGTGGCTGGAGGTTTTGCCAACGCGGTCTCTTGAAATTAATTTACCTCAACTGACCTAAACTTGCGAATTATATTTTACCTAATTATTGCGCTATAATTAAGAATTGTAAAATCAAAATGAATTTCCATGTTTATCAGGTACAATCTTATTTCGTGCTCAATGTTTATATAATATTGTAAAAATATTTGCTGTAATTATTTTCTGACGTCCCACGCCATGAGATAGCATAAGGTAGCATAAAGTAAGCATGAGGTAGCATGAAGTAAGCATGAAGTAAGCATGAAGTAAGCATGAGGTAGCATGAAGTAAGCATGAAGTAAACATGAGGTAACAAGGAGGTAAACATGAGGTAACAAGGAGGTAAACATGAGGTAACAAGGAGGTAAACATGAGGTAACAAGGAGGTAAACATGAGGTAACAAGGAGGTAAACATGAGGTAACAGGAGGTAAACATGAGGTAAGCATGAAGTAAGCATGAGGTAGCATGAAGTAAGCAT